CTTTTAATAAGTTTACCTCGCCAATCCATGAAACACTGTTTGAAACACCCATATTATTCGGCGTACATTCATAATGTCATTTTAATAATTTTTCGGATAGGATCTTATCTTAGCTGATAGTAGCATTGCATGCTACCATTTGAAAAACGCAGTATTATATTAATTTGAAAGCATGTTTAACATTATGCGCGCAAATCTTTCTCTCTAAATCTTCCTTCCTCTGCGAGCGTCGGGTAAACAATTTATTTGTCCAAATGATATTTCGGAAGTCCTGAAAAACTTGACTTAATTGCTAGATCTTTGAACCTCATTATATTATCAAACTGAAACATATTAACACTAGTTTTCATCACTGTTAACAAGTACTGAGTGAAATAATCTTCTCGGCTCTAATGATGTCGTGGCAAAATCGGTTCTAGTGCATTCTTGCAAATGGCATCGACATAATTTGGTATCAAAAACCGTTGGTGCCGATATAATAACTTATAGGCGTTTTGCAGATCTTGTTTGCTCATCCTTGGGCGGATTTAGACAGGGGCCGAAGGAGCCACGGCCCTCCTCGTTTTTGTCTGAAATATTGTTTAATTTCTAAAGAACTTTCCAAAAGTCTATCTTCCAAAGCCATAATTTGTGGACACAGAAGCTCACAGAATTCAAGCTTTTATCAATTATTCTTTTATCAATAAATAGTATAAATACCTGGCACCGTGCATAAACCTCGCCTCCCTCTTTCTGAATGTTCTGGATCCGCCCTTAGTATCCGAGTATCAATTAAACGGAATTAGTGGTAGTAAAGGTGCTTTTTGATCAAAATTTCCTTATAAAAGCCATTATTGAGGTCTGAAATTTAGCTTTCACTTTTGACGCAGTAAACAAACCAGTATCGTGTGGTAATACTCAGTTCCGCGGCTACAATTTTTTTAGCAAAAGTTTTATTATCAAAAATGTCCTTGCACTAAATTAGACTGTGACTTAACGTCTGGGCAGTAAAAGGTTTATTATAAACTGCTAACGTGTTATGATACACTCTGTTGATATTTGTCCGCCTGTCGTTCTTTGTTGTGTGTCTTCTGGGCATAGCAACCCAAAAAAAAATGAATACTTCTACTCTGCCTTCAACTATAAACAAAGACAAAAATGCTAGCTTGCCCACCTGTGTGAAACCGCCTTATTCTTTGAGAAAAAAAAATTATATGTCTTTGTCCTGTTTTCCACAAAAGATCTTAGTTATTTTTCGGCCAAAAATACTATTCTGTTCTCTCAGCAAGCACAAATTCCTACGGAAGCGGGTCACTTGTTTTGCAGACATTTTTCTTTTGTCCAGAGTAGGGTTAATGACAATCACTTGGGCTGCGGTTTTAAAAAGAATAAGTTATATATTTTCCTTCTTCCTGCTTCTCAAATTTAATACAACAACATATTCCGGGAAAGGCAACGAAAGCAATCCTTTTGCGGAACACGCAACGGCGTGCGGGACTTGCAAACATTAGATATAGGTTTTCAGTGCCGGAAGCAATTTGCAGTAGACTTGCTTTTTCGGTGAAGAGTATGTGCGTTCCGTCGAAGTATAATCTTATCTCGGGAGCATGTAAGATGTGGTTTTCACAATGGACGCAAACAACACACGCATAAGGACAGTTCATGTACCTTGTAATGACTGAGGCTCTCAACTCAAACAGAACGAGTACACGTTTTGCCAAGCCAGCGTTCTATAAGAGTTGTAACTAACAATCATTTCATAAGCGCACGTTAGACAGAAGGGAATGGTAGATACGCGCCTCGTTGGCTACGACAAGCGGTATTGGAATATATACTTACAGCCATTAAGAACAAGTCAAAAATATTGATTACTCTTCCTGACTTTAATTTGTTTTGTTAAAGCGACGAAAAGACGACTTATTGGTTAATTTTGTCGAGTCGCTAAGCCAATCAAAACTCTAGAGTTTCATAAAACAACGAGTGATATATAGAGTACATGTAAAGCAACGCTACGAGTATCGCCTATGGTAGCACCGAATTATATATAATAAGTCATGTGTTACTCATTAACGTTGGTCGTAGATAGGCATATTCAAGTGAAGATTATATTCATAGCTGATTCGAGAATATTAAAGCATGACCATATATACCGCAAACAAAAGCTCAGGAAGTGTATTCAACACGGATGATCTCCGGCTGACGCGACGGAGAAAGATAATACGGGCGAAGACAAGTAAACTTTGTCACGAGCCGATCTCGGCTATTTTACCCAATTCTCGGATAATTTAATATTTCCCAGTTTTCCAGACTAACACAAGAAAATACATCCTATGTGTATACTTTGGGCACGTCTATTTGAAATTAAGAGGGGTCAGGCGATTAAAATAATCACATTGTATAAACTGAGGTTTAAACAGAGGGAAAATATTATTTAAGTCAAAAGAAAACAAAAGGAAAAAACTCTGTCGTCATCGTCTACTTATTTCCCGATTATCTTTTCAGTACCTTCTTCGGTGACGACTTGTTTTTCCTTTTTACAGTTTGAAGCAGCCAAAGTAAACAAAAAAATATGTCTTATCTTTATCAAGAGAAACGACCCGAGACTAGAAATGAAGAATATACGTACACACAAAATATCGTCAATTCTAACTTTGAAAGCATTTGAAACGGAAGAAAAAGGCGGGTGACTAACTTTTTACGAGTCGGGTGAAGTAAAGTCAAACAACTCGATTTCCGAGGTTAATTAACTGACTGCTTCCTGAGGCCCGTTTCTCGAAAGTCCCGTAAAGCTGCTGTTGTTTACATGCAAGATAGAGGTTTCAATAGTTTTGCATCTAATGTGACAAAACTGTCAGTTAATGAAACAAAATGAAGTAGTTTGCTAAGCCAGGAGCAGCGCTCTTATTCTTTATACTTCGATTTGAATATTTGATTTCGGGCCCGAAAAGTTACCGGGACTTTCGAGAAACGGACCCTGGGCCGGCCATGTATTGACTTGATTGTTCCTGAGTTCTTGAATGGTTTAAAACTACTATCTATTTCATGTGAAGTCAGAGATATCTTCAGACAACGATACAGGTGCCATTAATTGAATTTAGTCCAACTGCACATGCATGGATACATAATGTTGAACCGGAAGATTAAAAACGCTCTTAACGAATCAAAAGCTATCAAAACTGCTCATTTACTAAGTTTAGATGCGTTCTTTTTACATGAAAAAATGGTTTTGTGAAGACAAATGAGTTGACAAGGATTATTTGGCCACTTTAAAGAGTTGAAAGGCACGACAGTTTTTTGAGATATTAAGCTCTTTACCTTTTCTGGCCGTTTGAGTCGAGAACTGGTTTCCGTTTTAGCGGTTATTGTACGGAAATCGCTCGGTTTGGGAAGATTTCTGAGGGCAGAACATGAAGTGCACTATGTTAAATGCCGAGAACGGGGAAAACTCAGTTTTAAGTCCGTGTTACTACGGGTGTATCATTATCATCATTATTATTATTTCCGTTTAATGCAATTTAGGTGCGGAATGTACAGTGACGATTACGACAATAGGTCCATGACTTGTAAGGGAGCAAATTTAGAGAATGCTAAACTTGAAGCATTTAAGATTTCTTTTTTGTCATTCTTCAATTATCGCTAGGATTCTTCTCTTTTATCAGTTCGATGATTTTGAAAGAAAAACTTGTAAACTTGAGACAAACAACAACAACGAGCAAATGAATGCAAGAAAAACATTCCGGTTGGCCGGCTTTATCAGTTTTTATCACAGAAAAATATTGATGTAATCAAAGATGTCACATTAAGACTCAGACAGTCCTGTATTGACACTAAATTAATTTTTGTGAACAGTTTAACACTTCGTACACTATTTGACACAGTATCACTGTATCAGTACAAAAAATGTTATAGACTGTACAACGTTTCAAAGCAACCAGCTGTATATTGACTATCTTGGAAGCAGAGAGAAACTGAACTTTTAAAGCATATCTGCTAGACTTCTTTTGTATACGGTGATCTATAAGATCTCCTAGGCAAATGTTTAGAAGAGTAAATGTTTGCCTTAGATCTCGCGATTCTCACCTGTTGCGAAAAAAAATATATAAAAAGCCAAATATTTACCCGAAGTGAACCCGATTGGTATTAAAAAAGTGTGGATTTGTTTGTAGAAAAAACAGTCTTACAGTTCAATAAAGGTGTTTTTTTCGGGTGGACGCTTCAATTAACACAACTCTTTTTTTTAAAGAATCTTTAATCAGGGGCTGACAGTTTTTGCAAAATGTTACTTTTTTTTTCTAAACTTCTTGAGGGCAAGTCTTTTAATGAAGTTTACATTTCAACGGCTAAACCCCAGCGCTATGCACCTTTTCATAACTTGTTGTCACGATTCCGTGATAATGCTCGAATGTTGACAAGTACGTCAATAGTGGGAAATCCTTGCATGCTAACTAAAAAAAAAACTAAATGCCAACACGTCTCATCTCCTTTCAGCAAAGGTCCAGAGTGAGAACATGCTGATTGAAAAACGCGTGTCGCTGCTTTGAACCGCTCGTGTTCGCAATTTCCGTTGACAACAAGCCGACGGTCGTCATCCTTAATGATCTTGTTATGCCAAATATTGATTGAATACCACTTGAAATCCACTTTGCACCTAACAGAAAAGCCTTAAGTCATGCAATTTACCCCTACTGACCACGTAAGAGAGCAAAACCCTTAACTGTGCCTTTGCAAGATAATGACACTTGCCAATATATTCCCTGCGATCTTACCCCATTTCCAGCGTTCTTTTTTCCATATGAGGTGTTCACAAAGAATGTCAGATTACACCTGTCACCGCTAAGGAGTTAAAGAGCTTGACCCTCTGTATATTTGTGGCTTATCCCTGCCATCGCGAGTAAAGTTGTATTCTAAGTAAATTCAAATATGTCAATTGCGACAATGATGAGGGTCAAATTAGGGTGTTGTCTCGGGCAATTAATAAATACTGCCCGTACCTTTTGTTTCAGTTTAGAAAAAGGTCTGCCATGAAGACGTCGAAAACTCTATTTTGTCTGATGCTTTTCACCCTGGTTGTCTTGAATGAGGGCAGACCAGCTCGAAATAACAGTCGACACGGACAGCAAGTTCACGTAAGTTGCTTTCACTTATTTGTCAATTTATTTTATGATTATAATAACGACTTAAATTTTCTTAGTTTGACGTATTTCCTTCACTAAAAACATATAAACACACTGTCATAATAACATTACAATTCCCTTTTGCTTTTCTTTTTCGCAAAATATCTGCACGAAAGTTGCTCGTTGCTTGCTGACTGCCTGTTAAGTTTCTATATGCTTGCCCGCGGCTCACATTCTCGTTTAACTGTTGCTCGCACGGTGTATTAATTTTGGAAACCCACGCTCTACGTAGAGAGCTTATTGTTGCTTCACAAAAGCGGACTACTCTACTCTGTTTCTGTCTCGTTTATCTTCTGAAATACACTCAATAAAATACAACTGCTTATTTATACTTCCTCAAAAGCTGATGGAAAAAAATTGTTGAAGTGGCCATTCTTCTGCATGAAAGGTCAACATGAATAAAATTAAGAAGTTTATTGGTTTTATACTTCTGTGCCCAGGAAAGACTTCAAAGCGTTTTGAAATACCCTTTCGGTCGTTTTTACCAGAAACTGGCCAATTTTGTCTTGATTTCCCTATAACAGCACTTAAGAAGCAAAGTCACGTTTTTTTAACTCTGACCTTAGTCTTTTGAAGTCATGGCTCAGCGGGTATACCCAGCTTTTGTCAATTTCAAATGAGCGTTTGAAGGGAATCAGGAACTTTTGCCGAGTTCTGTGTGTTGATCATACCAACAGTATGACTAATTCTTCCACGATATTGCCTAGCTAAATGCTACTTTACACTGACCTTCAGTAGAGAGAAAATAAGAAAAGACACTTTTTTTCTTCCATCAAAGAACACTTATTCATGCGTCACATTTTTATACAGCTTTCCAAAACTCAGTAAAAGAGTCGTTTTAGTGTTTCAGCTTCAGTCAGTCTTACTGGTTATTAGGGTCTAGTTTAGGTGCCCTTTAGAATAGAGTTGGAACTTCCGTGTCTGCCGAGGAAATCCGAAATTCTGCGCAAGTGCCAAATCATATAATCAACTTGAGCATTAATACTACTTGTGCTACCGGAGGTTTTAAGGAGAGAGGTCACGTTTTTTAAATCGTTTTTTTGAGAAACAGAACAGGTTTTTCAAGTTCCAATCTTTCTTCGGCCAGCCTACGTTCACGGTAGCTTAACATTTTTTAAGAAGGGGGTTTTGATTTTCTAGCCTACCGCCAGATAAAAAAAGAATAGAACATAAATATCTGGTGAGGGATGGTAATTGGACAAAAAATGATTCTCCACTATGTTGCTTGTCATTTGTACTTGTAAAAAGGTGCTCCTTGTATGGGAAGGTAGTACAATGCAAACCTGTGGTTAAATTAATGCTGGTGGACAGGTCACCCGTATGTCTAAGCCGTGGATTGACGGCGTAAAATATTAAACAAGAGAAGGAATATATACTTTTTCAAATTTTCAAACGTTGGCAAATGCGGTTTAAAATCAGAGCGAGGAGCAGCCGAGACACGAGATTCAAAAGAACTCGACTAAAGTTTCTGTGTATAGCAGATGAGACAGAAAATTTCTCGAGTGTTTAATGGGCCTTCCGCCTGTGACGTAATATTATTCGACAATTCTGTGATTATTAAGATTGCACTTGCAGTTCGGACTTCCTCTCTTTTTTCCTCATGAACATGTATTCATTACAACGCACCACTCACAAACGGGGACATTGAAATGAAATCTTCGAAACAAAGTTCTCCGTAGTTCCACTTTCTCAAGTCTATTTTAAACTGAACAAGGTGGTACGTCTAATTTATGATTCTGTGCACGTCGAGATCCTACAGTGGTAAATTGTTAACTGAAGAGGGATCATTTCTTTCCAGTGGTACAAGTGCGCATTAAAGACATTTCAGCTGGCTTTCAGTTTTGGATCTATCGATATTAGACCTCCACCCTTATTGTGGCATTACAATGGCGGGCATAAGTCATGCACACAATATTTTGAGGAACACTTCACTGTAGTGTAGTTAATATGCTCAATTTTTTTGTTTTTTTGTTATCGAACTTCTTTTTATAGCGGAATTGTCGTGCTTTCGAGAGAGGACGATTTTAATTAAGGGGAAAGGATTACGTGTCCGAGGTGATCAATGACAGATTCTGTTAGCGCGGAGCTCTTAACATACCACCTGCTTCAGCATTAAACAAAGAGACTTTCTAACCAGTTTCTGTCCAGCGTTTGAAAAAAGGTCATATAGGTTTATAAGACGACGGGATGCCTAGAAAAAGCTCTGGACATTTTTCAACACAATTGCCTGCAGAGGAGCTAAAAAACTTTCATTTGCAAGTGGGAATAGTTATGGCTGAATTGCATTTCCTGTTTGGAAGTAATATTAATGATGCTCAATTATCAGTGTAATGTGAAAGCAAATGCGAATTACAGGTATTAATCTGGGACTGCGTTTGCGTGCTTGAAAGTGCCTAAGATGTGGTCCATCGATCGCTGGCCACAGTTTAGACTGTGATGGAGTAGTGGTTCTCTGTGAGCAGCTCGCCCGTTAACAAGAAAGAAAAATATTATTATTAGGCCAGCTGCTAAACATTCCCTCTTGCCGCAAAATCATTTGCGTGGCTTTTCCCTGTAAACAGAAGAAGAGAACACCGACAGTGTCCTTCAGCTTAGCTTTTTTTCACCTTGGGTCGAATGAATATCGTACCTTGTCAATACTCAAATAACTTGGCACAACCTAACCTTCTTGCTCTTTTCATCGCGTGTTTCGGTATTAAAACCATTATAACCCCCCAAGAGCGTCGTGAAGTACCATGCAGATATTTGAGAGAAGGTACTTTGGTATTTTTGCATCCGGTGAATGAATAGCATAAGGGCTTCAGCCCACACAGGCGTAAGCTATACTAAGATTCATTGTTCAAAAGACGTGTCACTTAAGCAGTTATATTACATATGTATAATGGTTGTATTCTTAGCTGTCACTAAAACTGGTTTAAGTAACAGTCTACTAATATTATGCCCTTTATGTGGCTTAAACTTAGGCCTTTCGCTCTCTCCTCTGCAGAGGCTACCGCTGGGTACCCCACAAGAATAGCATAGCCTCCCCCATACGACACAAAGTGGCCTCTTCTGAGGAGAGAGGGCCTTTCGTTAGCCTTTAAACTGGGCGTTGGCATTGTCGAGAATTAGGGAAGATGATCCCTTCCAATTAACCTATTTACAGTGGGACTAAAACGCAAATTATAAACTTTCTTTATATTAAGAAGTGACTTCCGATATGCATTTCATCCCTTCTAACGGATGTTTACAGATGTACACCGATGTTTATGTGGGGCCAAGTAAAGTCGTTAGATGAAAAAATAAATATTATTGCAGAGGCGTACTGAAAAAAAAATAATTAAATGAAGTAATATATCAAGATTTTTAGTGTCTCGATAGAAAATATAGTGGAGGAAGATCTATTGTCAAAGTTGCTCCTTTATTTTTTAATTTACAGTGCGCCAGAGTCAAGGGTCGGCGCTGTATGGAGGACGATGAATGTGCTTGCGTGAACCGCCATAATAGAACGCTGATCTGTAACTGGCAGAAAAGATGCGAGAGATCAGGGTTTATTGATGATATCATGAGAAGTCAACCGGTGCGTGTTTAAATATGTCTGTTTTGTGCTTACCGATATTAACTTGTATTCCTTTTGGTGGGCGCGTCGCATGGGTCTGAGTGTCCCCTTCGCGCCTTTCCCTTATATTTCATTGTGTATTTATCGCTGTTGATAAAGTGTGTATTGCCCAATAAAGTAAGTTAAACTAAACTTAACTATTTTGATCAACAAAGAGTGGTTCTCAGTGGCTGGCGCACTGGATCGTCTATGATTCTGATCCTATAGGGTGCTCGGCCGGTACACCCAGTGTATAAGAAGGAGTTGAAAGAAATTTAAAGCCGCCCGGCGTTCTCCTAAGCTACCTACAGTTTCGATCCCCTCGTCTGGGTATTTTATATCCATATGATGCCTAATGAAGAAAGAGCCTGTACTTTCCGATGGGGGTGGATTATGTTAGGGGGAATTAGAAATGGTCTATATTTGCTTTATGCTAGAGGCTGCATACAGAAGGGAACTCATATTTACGTAACTGTGCTCACATTGTGGGTGGCTTCTCCTAAAATGTTCCACAAGTGGTACCGGATTTAATGGTTCCGAAATCAATTGTGGAATTGCACTCATTTTAGGCATCCTACTGATGAACAGTTACGACTTTTAGATATTTCGAGCAACAACAATTTGCCGTCTGTCCTCTTTGAAGTGGTAGTATCATGCATGAAATCAAAGAACCGTACAAGAATTTAAAATTACAGTTTGATATCAAGGAAGTGATGTGAGCCATTGCCACAGTGCTTAGCAGCTGGTGAGAACATCAATTAAGGTAACACTATGAATTGCCTTGCCTTTATCTAACCCACAGTCCTCTTTTTCTCAGTGCCCCCGGGTGTTCAAGAGAACCTGTGAAGTACATGACGATTGTCCATGCAGCGAACAACCTTTAATCTGTGAAGATCGTGAATGTGTAAAGGCAAAAAAGGTAAGCCAAGGTGAGGGTGTGGTGGAGTGACGCCGCAAAAGCAAATTATTGAATAACACCACGGCCCGTTTATGAATCTCTCGTAGCTTGGATGTGTTTTTTCCCAACCTCGCCCGGAGCTAATTAAATTTTTCTTTTCGGGGGCGGGGTAGTTTTTCTTCCTCTTTTCCTTTTTTTTAAATGCGGTCATATTGAACTTAAAAAAAGTTAGGGCTAGTAGATATGGACACACATTTTACACAACTGATTGTATTTAATGAAAGGCTGGTTAACATTTCTTTTAGTGCTTTATAGTTGAGGGCCGGCCCTGTAGCAAAGACTCAGAATGTGTATGTGTGAACCACCATAATGCCACAGAGACGCTTACCTGCAATAGTGAAAACAGATGCGAGAGACAAAGTCCTCATCATATCATGTCACTTCAACCAGTAAGTTGAATATCACAAAATATTGACACTTGTTTAAGGCCAGGTAGTTCGACTTTGGAGGAATAAATAAAAGATAGTTTTACAATAGTCAGTCCCGGCTATCAACTGATTTATGTTTGCTTTAGTTAGAATTTCAAGCGACACTGCTATCAACGAGAGTTAACCTACAAAACTATCCACGAGAATTTCATTTTTCCGTGTCGGCTTGGTATAAAGGAAAGAAAACGACATTATGACCGAAACAGTAACTACTGGAAACAATCCCTAAAAATAAAATCTATTGATCTTCAAAGAAACCTTCCTCGTCAGGATCTTATATATGAGATATGTATAGAGTACGGAGTGGGAAAACCTTTTTTATCATGTTTTGGCTCACTCGTGTGCGTTTGTTTTGTTTCAGTGCCCTGGAGTGTTCAAGCGTCTCTGTAAAGTAAATTCAGATTGCCCGTGTAGTGAACACCCGTTAATATGTGAAAATCGCGAATGTGTCAAAGCGCTACAAAGGTTTAAGAAGGCATACTGACACTGTGGAAGACTGGGAAGGACAATGACTGTCAGAGAGATACACCTTCGGTTTTCCCAGCTCTATAAAGAATGGAAGGCTGAGTCACAATTAATTTATTATTTTACAAGTGAATTTGCCCGCTGAAGGGAATGCCTGTAGAAAGTGTACAGGCGTGAGGACTTTAAAAGCCAAGCCATATTCGAGAAGACTCAGTAATCATGCGGATACCAAAGACGACGTCCCAGTCAGCTTGAACGAGAAGGGAACTGGGTCGGGTTAACTTTCGCAAAGACTTCTGGGACTGTCACTGGGGACACGGAAAAGTTGGCAAATTGTTTTAGAGTTGAACTCTAATGGATTGTATCAAAGTTCAGGAAAAGAAAAGGAGAGTTGTTGTCTTATGTTCCCGTCCTCGACAGAACGTGAAATTAGGCACTTTCACGTTGTAGTCGTGCAACGACGGCTATGAAATGTACAAAAAAGCGTTATGCACGTGCAAAGTTGTTGTTTTGCTAATATAAACCTATTGCTTTTTTGCCGTTCTCCTTGCCGTCGCCGTCGTCGTTGCTTAAGCTCCCCAATAGCTGAACGGTGTGTCCCCAGTAAGTCTTTGCGAAAGCTAACTCGATAGATAGATAGATAGATTTTTGTTGATATTAAACAACAAATACAGAATTGTATGGGAATATTTAAAGCGAGGAAGATTGACCATTTTTATCGAACTGGGTAATCGCGGTGAAAGAGTAAAGTATTTTCCACTAATATAATAGCAGCAAGAGAGGAGTTGTAGTATAGCTTCTGGAAGCTTACACGCAAGCAAGCTAGTCTAGGCTTTCTTGTGCCCTCGCTCGGAAGGGTCCTGGTGTAGGTTATTTTCCGTATTCAGTATTTTGGACTTACAACATGCACTGCATTTCGTTTTGTATATAATACAAGTCACCCAAGCGTTCGTCCATTCTACAATGTTTATGAAATCAATATTATAATATAAGTATTAGAAATAAAAGAAACGAACAAGTCTGAGAACGAAAACTATTGTGATTTCCTCGAACTCGTTGAAGCCGGAAACACTTCTGCAACAGGCGCTTTAGTTCGAAGCATATTGCTAAACGACGCGCGTGATTACCTGGAGCAGCGAAGTTCGAAGCGTTCTCGGGCAAGCATTCTGGAAAGAAAAATCTGCGACATTCAGGTTCCCAATAATGCAATTTGTTTTCTCACAAAATTTTGCATAAGTTTTGTTTTAAGTCTCTCAATGGACAATTGTTAGTTCCAAGAGAAATCGGAAACAATACTTGTGCAAAATTTTGTGGAGAAAAGAAATTTCATTATGGGGAACGTTAGCCTGTTCCAGGCGTTCAGATAGTGGAGTGCGACGGTAAGTGGGGAGCGAGTTAAGTTGTACCCAGTGTCTGAACGCCTGGAACAGGCTAGGGGAACGTAAGAGTCGCAAATCGGCTGACTTTACAGAGGGCGATGTTGTAAGGGCCAACATTGACCGGCCCAACGACAAAAAGAAAGAGACGCTTGGCAAAAGGTATTTGCTTCGTGTTTTGATTGGTTCAGTCAGCTTAGCTTCACCATCAGGATCTAGATAACAGAGGACGTAATGACGTCATTAACGAATGACGAACATGTCTCGGAAAGTGAATGCATGAAATTTTGACACAGTCATGACGAAGTATTTACAGAATTTGATACTGCTTAAACGGGTGGATATGTTAATGTTACAGGGGAACTGTTACAGGCAGTAGGGCTAGCACACATGAAGGCGCTAGTTTTCTAAAGATCTTGAAAAATCTTGCTATATTTGCCGCGGAATATTTTCTTCTCAGGAACAAGTTTTGGTATAATCCTCTGAAGTAACCCTTTTAACTTAAGTAGACGTAATAGAAGTGGCTGGCTTTGGAATTAAAGTATAACAAGGAACCCATATTTCAGGTTTAAACAATAGGACGTTCTAAACTCACTATAGTGGAAACTAAGAGCTAATCAAAATTTGTAGCGGAGCACCACGATTACCTGTAATTTACTTTGCTAAGGTTAAGGGGGTGGGTGCCATCCAATAAAAGAGTTTGTTTTTAAATCTCTGGGTCTTTTCGCTGGAAATTTTTCTTAAATCAACCCTCCCTCAAAAGCTAAATGAAGGTGTCGTCAAAAAAAAAAAAAAAAAGGGTGGGTATTGTAAAGGTTGTTTATTGCCTTTTTCAGAAGCTTTGAATTGCTTTTAGGCCGGTGATGGGTCCTGGGTCCAAGTAGTATTTTTCGTGTGTCGTACACAAAGGGTTGTTGAATTGCAAATGGTTGACATGGAGCCTGCGGTAGACAAGCTTGAAGCCTTGGTAATATCAGCTTTTTTTCTCTTACTTCTACTCGATCCCTCTTGAAACACAAATTTTATGCTCATTATACTGTCAATTCGCTTTCTGTTCCTCTGTGTTCTGTTAATACAAACACAAAAAGTTGTTTTTCCTTTAGGCAGTTTTGGCGCCAAATACAAAAAAAGATTTAAGTAAACATGCACTGATATGGATCCTTATGGTTGCACTGGAGTCTTTCCTCCCGAAAATTCTTTCCTTGCTGGAATTTATGCAAAAGTAACAATAATTTGAACAGTTAATTAAAACATTTTGCGGTAATCAATGCATTGTAGTATCCCAAGGACTGTACAAGCTGAATGTAGCAAATTTTGCTTTTTCTCTGAATCTGAAATGTTCTGTTGTTTATCCACTGTAATCTATGCTTTGTTATACTCATTAATTGTTTCAGTTTCAACACATACAACACAACCCGAATTTTGCTTAAACAGTTGTCTTACATGATTTGAAATATTCTCATTACTCTGTCATTATCAAGCATCCCTTCTTGCACGTGTTTTTAATTATGTTACACAAGAAACTTCTATCACCTACATCATCAACATGTATTGGTTGTCTTTCTCCGAATTACATAGTTTCAGAAGGCTGAGTCAGACCTGAACTACATCTCCCTCAGACTGGAGACAGAGTTCTCTCAACAGTTTTCAGAAAGTTGTCAAGATGAAGTATGTTGATGCTATAACCTGTAATCAATTACATTTAGAGAGCTCAAACTAATTTTCAGATGGTGGCCCGGACATGATGACTGGCCAGACAAATTTTTGCTCAGTCAAGATTCATTTTCTGACCGGTCAAAAAATTGGAACAAAAGTGAACTAATCCTTTTGTAATATGCTCTTAATGAATGTGATTGCATAATTTTTACAGAGAGACAAAAATATCTAAGATTTACAGGTGAGGATTTGGGTATTTGCTAAAGAATAAGAGTTTGCATCATCTGTCCATGTGACCAGTGAGTGGAGCTTTTGGCCTGTCAAGACCCCACTCTGGCTTGACATTGTCAATTGACCGGCCAGTATTTTAAGCCCTGCATTTATGTAGTTGAGGATGTACAGTGTATGTAAATGTAACATACATTTTTGCAAAATAAACTTACAAAAAAATGTGCAGTCAAACAGAAAGAAACAGCAACAACAACAATAAAAAAACAAGCACACTAATAACAATCAAACAGTACAGGGAAAATGTCAGTCTGATAAAAAAGATCCTGTGCTGTGCGGATTGTATGTCTCTCACCTTATACCTATTGTAGCAAATCATCTGAATTATATACCGCCCAAAGAACTAAGACTGGGCTGCAGTTTTTCATGCACTGAAAATTTGGGGTTAAATTAAAGCCCAAGGACTAGCCTAGTTCTCAGATAAACTGAGGTACCTGGATCACACTTCCTTGTGCCTCAGATCTTCTGAGAATCAAGCTGTTCTAACCTTATGAGATTAATCCATTTAAAAGTTATTGAAACCTCATCTTAAAGTATTATCCCTTTCAAAGATATCATAATCTAATTGATTTGATGAATATGATGACACATTTATATCAAAATATTTTGTAATCTACTTCAGTCGATACTTTGGGCAGTATTGGTTGCAGGAAACAACTGATTCATTTCCTTTAAAAGTATTAAAATTTAATGTTTTTAATTTATTATTCAGCTGAATCCCATCAAACTGTTGAAGAGGATAAATCAAGCCAAACAACGATTTAAGAGCCTTTCTGAAGAAGCATCCTGCATTTGCTCTAAACAGGAGGTACAGTCTTTGAATACAGGGTGTATTTGACTGAAATAATCCTAATAGAATTAGTATAAGCTCTTTTGAAAAATAGGGCAAAGGTGGGCGACTTCACTCCATGTATGTCATATGTCAATCAAAAGAAAATCATGAAAGAAATATAACTTCTTTCATAAGTCTCTTGATTGTTAGTACAGTGGACGTGTCACCTGGCAAAGTTTAGTAAAACGAGTTGACCACTTCTGTACATTCAAAGGCAATAACAGCTGGGTAACATATTAATAATTTTATACCCCGGTATATAGTACCCTCTGTTAATAATATTTTTATTTGGGGTAATTATTTTGTAGCAATAAAATGGTACGTTTCTTTTTTGAAATAATTCTAAGTTTGTTAAAGTTTCACATTTTGTTTATAAAAATTGATTTACATTTTTATTTTTAGTGTCAATGACACCAAATAGTTACACTCATCTTGTAAATTTTGGGTTAAGTGTGTGTTTGTAATAATAACATTATATTATTATTATATTTTGAATATTTTAATAGGAAATCAAAGATGTTCTTACGGATCAAATGCTGGCTTGCCAGGATCTTTTACGTCAATTGCAAAAGTGTGCTGGACTCTCAGTAGGTGTACTTAATCTAACATGTCATCTATTATAAAAGATTTTTTAAAGTTCATTAATACAAAATTATTTCATAACAAAGAAACAGACTGTAACACAGTTACTCAATATTATTGTAACTAGTACAGTACTTTAAATTTCATTTTCTAGAAAATGGTATTTTAACTCTTTGTTACTCTTTTGCCTTATCAGGTTTTAGATTCAAACGCTGATGAGCAGTTTTTGCGAACACTAGAAACACTTTTAAGAATAGGTATGTAAATGCAGAAATCAAACTGATATGTACTAGGTCTTGTAGTCTTTGCCATTTGTCTTTGATCAATTTAAGATTTCATCTTGTTTAAATAGACACAACAAGTTCAGAACAGAGTGTAGATGATGAAGACAAAGAGAACAATACATCTGTTGATCAAACTAGAGGAAAACAACCGCAACTAGGTACTGCAGTTTTTATACAAGACCATGTACATGCAAGAGATACAAAATAATGTAAAATACAATAATATTGATGCATCTATCAGTTTTTAAAATCTTAACACTTAAAATAACTTTATTAATATTAAGGAATCATGATGTTTCAGAAACTGTTTCAAGGGGAAGAAAGGAATTTATTGCAATAGATGAAAAAGAATTTCTGTCAGTGTCAGACCTTGTGCGAGGCCGAGCGAAACTGGCAGATGTCAACAAGGTATAGGTATCTGGCTGATGAAAGGTTTCATATGCCAGATTGGAATATCTTATTGGTACTTAATTTTGTGATTTTGGCGAGGAAGTATTTTGTGGGGTTTTATTTTTGTGTTTAAAGCGTTCTCAACTTCATTTTATTTTTTGAAAAGTCTGAGCTTTTAGATAAACTGGAACATGAAGATTATAGCTAGATTCTATACTTCATGTGAAATCTTAGTTTATAAAGTAATGTTATTTCACAACAGAAGATACAGAATGAAACTTGCCAGGGAAATCACTAAATAATTTGTCAATTTGTTGATACATAATTATCATGGTGTTGTTATTACATGTAGATCATTTTTTTCTGTGATTGAATTTTATATGGGTATTAAAATTCTTGTTTAAATTTCATGGGGATTCTTATTTGTCAGTCTTTAATTTTGCAATTTTTTTTACGATCACGAAAAATGCAAAATTAAAGACCCACGAAATTAAGTACCATTAAGGTACATGTTTGTAATTTTATTGGTTGCAAAATAAAATATTCATTTGTAAAATAATAGTAGAAAAGTAATGATATGGAATTAAAGTTGAGTTATACTATGGTTATAACTCCAATAAATTAGTGATACTCTGTTTAAATGTAAGGTTAACTTTGCTTGAAACAGGACACCTTTAAATTCTCATTTGAAATATCCATGCTATAAATACATTAAATCAAGGGTTGATTATTCTGCCATGTACTTATAGAGATTTAAAATTTTACTATTTTAGGTTTACGAGGTCCTATTTCAACATTTCAAGAAAAACAAAAACAGGTACATGTATTGCTTGTGTGTGTTTTGGTCAACACAGCACTGTTACTAATATGAATAATTTTGACGATGAACATGTAACATCATTACACACACTGATTTCCAAGCTACAGTACTGAATATAGTATTCTTATTATTTAAAATTAATATATTCATATTTCTCACCAAACAAACTGACTGATATTTTTCTCCATTTTTGAATAATTAGCTCTAGTCTCACTCCTAAAGAAATGACAAAAATGGGGCTCAAGGTAACTGGTGCAACTGGAGAAGCAAAATTAAAGGTAAATCTTTTTCTGCATGGCTGGCTGAATGAACAGAAATTAATGCAAAGTTCCAGAAAATAAACACCGATACCTCCCCATGACCCTCTAACCCTCTAGATAGAAATTACCATCTTTTTGGTCTTTGAGACCCATTCCTCCTCCTTCCAATCCCTTCCCTGGGGTGAGTATTTGGAGATTTAATTTACAGCACATTTTTATATCTTTTGCAAACAAAACGATACAGTGTATGTCAAAGCTTATCATTATGTGAGAATCAATTTGAGAATGATACTTTTTTGCCTATTTTTATTCAGCTATGATACAGATCGGTAGGAATTGCATGCTATGGGTAGTTATGTGTAGATATGCCATTTATACCAAATATGACTGTGTGAATACTGGTTGTATTCATGCACACTTGGTTTTGTTAAAATGGTCATCTCTTCTTACTCTAATATGTATTTATTTAATTAACAAGTGTATTATGTGTGACCCAGTATTTTTCATGTGGCCCTTCTAAAATGTGTAAGTTAACATCAGGCCTCAGTTGTTCAAACGCTGGATGGTGCTACCCACCAGATAAATCACTATCCAGCAGATAAGTATTAATAGGAAACCAATAATAATTATTATTGGTTTCCTAATTGGTTTCCCAAATACTTATACGCTGCCTTATCCATTGGATAGAGATTTATCCATCAGGTAGTGCTAGCCACCTTTTGAACACCTGGGACCAGAAGGTTCTGAGAAACACAGCTTGCAGCTAGAGGTTACCCTGAGAGGAGTGGTTTCTCTTGACTAAGTCTGGCCTGGAGAAAACACTGCTTGCTGTGTAGCTAAAGGTTTGCAAACCATTTGGCTAGGGTGACCAGGAGTAAAAATTATCCAGCTAAAGGTCAGTGCCAGACTACCATTTTGCAAGTCCACTGACCACTCTGATCACTTGGCCATACAGCTGAATTCTTCCTCAGTGATCGAGATATGAATTATTAGAAGGCACATTAAAATTAATCCTTAACCTTTACTATGGGAAAATCAGAGTTTCAAAACCATTAAAGATAATTATTTAACACTGTGGCCAAAATGGGCTTGGCATGCAGCAAAATTCAACTATTTGTGACAAACTTTTTTACAATGAGATCAACAATAATGTCGTCAAGAGCCTTTTGGCCTGGAGGTACATGTAATGAAAAGAAGTGATCATAGCGTTATTTTTTATCTCTGCTGGTTTTATTTTTCAGGTTCTCAGAGCACTGAAAGTCATCGAGATAAACAACAAGGGGGCTGTAAAGATGGCATGATAGTCAATGATATTTTGGTGTTCATTTTTAGAAAGCTTTTCATCTTTGAATAATTTTACTGGCCATTCACTATTATAGGTGAATCAGGTCATTTTATTTTTTTTCTTAAGGGTATTCAGGCGTGTAAGCCCAAATGACTGTAACTGTATTTCTGTCAGATCTACCTACAATCCCAACTATTAGCTAGAGTAGCTAGGTATCTAACTTGCTGCCATAAAGGAGAGCTCTATTCTTTGCAGCAAACATTTAAGTTATCGTAAAGTAACTTTGTCATTCTCCTTCTCTTTTGGCAGATAGAAAAAAAGCCAGGGAGGGGAGGGGGATTGGTGCACTGGCCAATATCTACCACATCTGTAGCCAAAGGCTAGGAGGGACACTTTAGGCTTGGTAGCTTAGACCTCTAGAGAATGAGGACCACAGAAATGACATGCATTTCTAAAGGACCCAACGCAATGTGGGGCTCTTTTTTCCAAAATTGGGGAGATTTTCATGACCTGTATTACTAGCAGTAAAGTGACATAAGCAAGAGAAAAAAATAATGATAATAAATATATAAAAATATATACTTGACACCAGGTAAAGTATGGAACAGGACCCTAATACAATGTAACCCTGTAAAACTTCACATAATTCCCAATACTTAGGAATTTTGTTATGCCAAGGTTCTGAAGTGTAGAAAGGCAGTTTCAGTTAAGGCTGCTTGATCTCTACTTTGGAGAGTAGAAGAGAGTAAATATTCTATCAACAGAATTCCTTAAAAGTTGTTAGTTTCCTTTGGGTTAACATCAAAAATAATTTCTACAGGTCTTGGACTACTCTGGCGTCCTTTTTTTCAAAAATAGTACTGTAAGTCAGTTATGGATTTGGAGGGTTTTGTTTTAACCTTTTTGGATGCCATGCTACAAGAACACTGACTTCAACTAAAGCTATTCTATCTGTCCAGAAATGGAACATTCACATTATTTTACTAAAACAGACAAGCAGACATCATCTTTATACTGTAAATGAGTCAATAATTGATTCATCATTTGACAGTATAAAGATTGGTGTAACTTTAGTTATAGAGGTGAAGGAGTAATGCCCTGGGTAAAAATACAGCACTTCAAGTGAGACTTCATCTACTAGTCTTGAGGAACTGTTTGTTTGTCTTGTCAACCCTTAAGTGGCCAACACTTAAGGATGCCAAATTGCAGACACTGTAAATATCCTTCAACACTACAGTATTGTGACATAAGTAATGAGTTTTAATAGTGTAGGACTGTCACTAACAGTTCCTGGGTATATGCGATCAGCAAGCAGGGAATTAAACAGCTACGAAGGTCTTTTGAGTTCTATTTTCATCTTGTTTTCCATGCAAGCAGCCAAAGTGTCATGCTGATAGTAGCGAGGGGAAGTATCCGGCTCCCATGCCAGCTCTTAGTGACAGGGAATTTTCCAACCATCCCATATCAGAGAACTTCAGTCACTGACAGGTGATGTAATTATTGGTACTTGTGGAGAGTACATGTCACGTTTCATGTCTTTTGCATGGCCACCACTGAGGAGTTGATGCCACAAGCTCTATATCCTTGCCCTCTTTATCCTTAACATAAAATTTCTCCTCTTTCTTTAACATCTCCAGTCTCATGAGCCCCGTCCCATACTGTCCATAAACCATGCAAAGCTTGCCAGCAGCCTTCCCTTCAGATGTGCTTACCCGAGCACCTGACTCAAAATGACTTGACTCTGCTTTGGGATCCATTAGTTTTAATGGTACTGTTCGCTTTCTTACAACACCAGTATGGTGTGTTCTTGCGATCAATTCTTGGCCTAAGTAGCATCCCTTGTGAAAAGACACTGCAAGAATTATAGGTAATAAGCTTCACTAACATCATACAACTAAATCTCATTACAAAACTTCAGCCTAACTAAGATCAAGGTTCCTCATACATTATATTAGTCCTTTCTCCTACTTCCAAAAAGACTACCTACTAAAGACTTTTTACAGTCATTTATGCACCTGTCTATATTAAGCCCCAGGATGGCGACAGGGAATGCCCAGGACAGAGACATGGTTTTATCAATTGAGCTGACAATGCAAAAAATTCAAAAGCCTGTTTTTAAAACACTTGGTGTTTTATTATAGTCCTCCTCCGCTAATGAAAAACCAGAGTTTCTTTTGAAACTATTGCACATTTATTTAAACTTTATGCCCAGGAAATATTGACATAGAGACCCATCCTCTTTAGAAGCAATAATTTTACATGCAGCTGTCTTCTACAATAAAAAGCCAAAGTGAAATTCCTAAATTATTTAGGAATTTCACTTTGGCTTTCCTATTAATGTCCAGGTGCCCTGAGTTTGCCTACACTCCTTCCCCCATTCCTGGGGCTTAACTTAGGTCCCAAATCCAAACCCCTAAATACCTATCCCGGGGGAAAATATCAACCCAGTAACCCTATCTCTAATTACCTTTTGTCATTTAATGACTTTAAGGGGTTGTCAGATCAAAATCCATGGCCTGAGTATCAGATATTTCTGTGAGAAAGGGCAATGAGAGATGTGAAAAGGAGAGAGAGAGTAAAGGGAAACAAAGTGTCTTTTTCTCTTCCCCCTCCCTGCTCAAATCTCCAACCCTAACCCCTAAGGAAGGCCTGATACCCAGACTACCCCCTACAGGGATAGTTGGAGATGCAAGTATGTTAAAGGGGGTGGTGGGGGGAATGCAATGCTTTGGACACATGGTGTGCACCTTACCTCCATTTAAATATCCTATGTTATACTCCAGAGGCATCGCATTTCCTGGTGGTATTTCATCCACCCCTTCACAAACTCCAAGCTTGGCTCTATGTACGTCATAATCAAAAGTATCTCCAGTTTCATACATATCGTCAAAACACACGCAGGGGCTAGAACCCTTTGGCAGCACCATTCGAAATCCCAGCAGTTTTACCCTGGGGTCTTCTTCAAGCACCAGCATATCTGAACGAGCTGATGGGTGTTGCAAATCCACAGCACCGGAAGGGGAAAAAATCACCCAAGGCTCGCAATCTTCCGCACGAGAAATATCCACCTTAGAGCGTAATTTGAACATCTTCAAATGCTTTATCAGGTCTGAAATTGCACCCACATCACACTCGAGGAAAAATGCCGGCGATTCCTCGGTAACGCCATGTTTGTAGAGGAAGACATCGTACAATGCTCGACCACTAGAATTTAAGAAAAAAGCATACATTGCTTTTCTTTCCGCTTCCAGTTGGAACGTCTCTACATCATTGGTCACAAGTCCTTGCAAAAACTTAATGGTATCTCTTCCTTTCAGTTTTAATAGACCTCTTTTTCGCAGTGGAGAGCACTTGATGTCTGCAAAGCATTTTTCTGAAGCCTGGGTTACGAGACGTCGACCGCTACATGATTGAAAAAGTTTCAAAAACTGATTTATCCTTAAGTTACGTGCGAGCGCCGCCATCTTAGATCTTGGGCTCGGTTTCAGCTTCCCTCGGGCGAGAACAAAATAGGACTTCAGTGTGATCATTTTGGTGCAAAATTAAGATCTCTTTACCCTACAACATGTCAAAGTTCCCTATGATGAATAAAACTGATGGGGTCAAAAGCAGTGCAAGGGCCGTGGATCTGCAAGAGTGGTTAAGGGCGTTCAGGGGTGAATGGGTTAATCCTCTGGGGAGAGTGGGTCCCCAGGCTTCCTTAATGAGAGACTTCTGTTCTCAGTTATGGTATTTTAGGCAGGGCATTTACCAAGGAGCTTTCAGGAAAAACACTCCCAACAGTGAGACAGTCATTAGGTTAAACTTGATCAATTCAAAGGGGACAGTCAGCAAATTGTTGTGGCTCAAAATACCAATACAAGTATTTAGCAAAACTAAATAACAAAATAATTATATTATGGAAAGAATATTAACAATAAATGATAGCTAGCAGTACACATAATAAGCATCTTAAAATCTCATTTCCACTTTAATTGAATACATTACTGGACTTTTAATAAGACACAGCTAAGGGTACATGTAGTAGTGGCGGATCCAGACCTTCAGATAAGGAGGGGGTTAGTGGGGGGGTTTGCGGTTGCAGTGTCCAAAAAATTTTTTCATGCCCTTCGGGCCTCCATTTGGTCAAAAATAAGGGGGGCAGGGGGGCCCTCCCCTGAATTCGCCACTGCTATTGTTAGTAAATATGTGTGAATTGAGATGTAACATTTTGCACTTTACAGTCAAGTATGTACCTTGCTTCTTCTTGCTTTTGGTGCATCTGGTGAAGAATAAGGATAAGCCCGCTATAAATCAGAAACATTACTATTAAAAACTATTTGTGCATCATCTCAATAAAATAAGCTCTGAAGCATCCTGATGATTTCCAATAAATCAATGGATTCTCAAATGGAATCTTATTTACCTGGAATTTCCTCTGCAGTGCTTTTGTCATCATTGGTGTTAGACCAGTTCCATTTTCCTTATTTCTATTAGAAACCAAAGGAGTCCCCCCAGGACTCCGAGTAATGTTCACTTTTCGTAGCTTACTTCTTGTGATGATCATTTCCTCAGGTGTTCTGTAAAATAAATGGAAACTCTTCAGAGAATCCCTAAAAACAGACATAAGTTTCAAGCTGGATGTCTCTCACTAACATGTGACAGACACATCTGTTTTATAAGACTTAATTCATGTAAATTTATTACAGTCCTGCCAGGTCGCGCATGACCCCTTAGGTGTCGTTAATGAATCACCTAATAAGAAAATGAGAAAACAAATCTGTTAGTAGTTGCCCCTGAACCAATATCAAATTCAAATCTGCATTCCTGCGTGCATAATGGGCAGTGAATTTTTTATGATAATTTCTCTGTATTCTGTCCAACTGAAAAATCTTTGAAGGGACAAAGTTGCTTACTGAAGAAATTTACATCAAATTCAAGAAAACTGAGCTGGCAGAAATTTCATTTACTGTGGGTGAGATGAATCTGAAATATCTACAACTACTAACGGTTCACTTTTGAATATTTATTATTATGCTTGACCAGGCTTGACTGTAATAAGGCTACTACAACTGCAACTATTGCTGGTAAATGCTAGCATCGGCTTGCCCAAAGGACAAGCTGTACCAGTAACTTTTTTACACCCTGTTATATATGTATGTGTCACTGATCAAGATACAATATTGAAGCTTACCGCAACTTGACTTTATCAATTTCACTTTCTGCCGTTCTCTTTTTTAAAGTGACCTTCTTTATCTCCCCCAAGCTGATGACACACTGTGGTAAATCCTTTCTTTGATTAATTTTCCTAAGTTCTGGTTTCTGGGGCTGAATCTTCAAACCTACATCAGTCTCAGTATTGGATTCAATATTTTCTTTGACCTTTAATCTGTTTTTCTTTGGTGAAACTTTTCTCAACTTGACTTTTTTCAAATCTTCCAAAGTCACTAAAGCAGTTGTTGGCTTCTTCTTGGTCTCACTAGAGTCCACACCCTTTGATCCACTCTGTAAAAAACCAATAAATTTAAGATAAAATTAAATATATTTATCATTACGATGTTACTTTTTAATACATTACATGTAGTGGACTACCATACACTGCTTCTCTTAAGTCCCCCAAGCTTATAGGCAGTAGGCCCGGCAGTAGGCCCCTCTCCTATATTTGCCCCCTCTTGTATTGAAATGACTTCGATTAAATTTTTTGAAGCTTAATTAAAAAAAAAAAACAGTAAATACAAAAGTACGTATTTTGATCAGCATTGCTATAGCTTGTTTTGAAGAGCCTTTACCATTCTGTTATAAGGGTAAACCCCCCTCCGAAATAAACCCCTCAGTCTGTTTGTAAGCCCTTCCAAAACCCCTTCCAAAGATGTTTAAGCCCAGGGCCGAGTTGTTCAAAGCTGGGTTAAGATAACCCAGGGTTACTGGAAGATTTGAATTAAGATTTGAAACCTTAAAAAGCATTTCAGCTTTAATTCTTTTTGTCTACAAGTTGATGATTGGAAGCTCTAAAAATAGTACAGAAAATTATCCAAGAAAATGCTTTTGAACACAAGATAAAGAAACCCAGGTTAATTTTAACCCCGGGTTAAGCGCTAATCAGCCTTCGAACAACTCGGCCCAGGGCTTTTAGCCTGCAAATACAGTTGTTTCTCCTCACCTCGCCACTAAGGGATGTCTTGCCAGGAAGAACGTCTGCGACTCAGCGACAGAAATTTCATACTGATAATGTAAATCAATGTTTACATAATAAATCCTGTAGTCATGGGGTTCCAAATAATGTAAACTTGTTTGATTTTATGTTTGTCCTGGTCGATTATGGTAAAAGTTTTGTGATCTTTTGCAAACAAGTTCCAGCAAAACTCAGATGCTTCTTCTAAAGAAGAATATATTCTAGGAATATTGAATGTTTTGTAGTAGATTCATCACATTTACATTTGACCTTTGTGGCATTTTGTCTTTCATCTGTCATTTGTAAACAATAGGTAAAACAATATGACTACTATGTCAACTAATCAGAGCTCAGTTGCAGACGTTCCTCCAGGTGAAACATCCTTAGCGACAAGGAGCAATAGGAGAAACGGCTGTATTCGCAGGCTAAGGGCTTTAAGCGGCAGTTTATGGTAGGCCACCATAGTTTTACTGCACCACTGTTATAGTCATGCACCTGCATTACCTGTTTTCTCTTGAGAAATGCCAGTGGAGGAGCAGGTGGGGGCAGAACAGGAGGAGGAGGAGGAGGAGGAGGAGGGGGTGGTGGAGGAGCTATCACTTTGGAAGGACTATGTACCATGTATCCCTCTTTAGTTGTTGAACACTTAACAGCATTATTTCCACATGGGCAGCTTGTCTTCTAAGAAAAATATGGAAAACACCATTATCAGACTGCATTTTAAACAAGCACTGTCATCATTATTACAGGTAGTAGGCTTTAAGTCAAAAACCAAAGGTTACCCTACCATAATTTTGGCAATTTCAGATTTGAGAAAAGTTACTTCTTCCTCTAGGTGAGTTATCCTCTTTATAACTTCTTGAGAGTTATTTCCACCATCTTTGATGGTTATATTCTTTTTCGATAAAAGAATCTGCACAATAAACAATAACAAACAACACGATAGTTAGTTAGACCAATACAGCATATCATTAAAATGTTCATTTTTGGCCTTTTATTCCTCAGTGGGGGACATTGAATGGGTTGTCAGCCTAGTGTTATGTACCAGTTAATTCCAAAACATCCACACCCCCACCCCCCCAGGCAAATCCCCAGGTTAAGATAACCCAAGGTTAGTGGGAAATTTGAACTCAGATATGAGAGCTTACAAAACAAATTCAGTTTAATTCTCTTTGCCTACAATTTGATGATTGGATACTCTAAAAAAAATATAGAAAATTATCCGAAAGAATGCTTTTGATGAAAAGAAAAAGAAGCCCAGGTTAACATTTAATCCTGGGTTAGCGCTAACTGGTGTTCAAACAACTGGCCCCGGGTAAAAAATTGAACCCTTGGTTAGCACTAATCAGCCTTCGAACAGCTGGGCCCTGTTGTTCGAATTTTAACCCAGGTTTTTATTTCTTTCGTTTAAACGGCATTTTCTCAGATAATTTTTCCTATTCTTTTAGGAGCATCCAATCACCAGATTGCAGACCAAAGGGAATTTTAACTGAATTTGCTTTACAAGCTTTTATATCTAAATTAAAAGTTCGCTCTAACCCGGGGTTATCTTAACCCCGCTTTGAACAACCCGGCCCTGGAGCTAGAAGACAGCTTTCCCTGCTACCAGAGGCCTCTTTTCTCCCTGCTAACAGGGACATCTTTACTACTGCAGCTAAACTTAATACATGCTTTTGTTTAACGTCATATTTGTAGGAGAACATGACGAGAACAATTAATGGTGACGACGATCACGTTCAACCAACCTTTCCTAGTGTCTGCAATCCACACCCAAAGATTTGTCTCAACCAATCCAATAAAAGGAAAACATTTCGGACTGAACTGAAACGGGTTGGACGCTGAAAAATGCCTGAAAAACTCTTCAGGCGAATAAAGAAGCTGCTTACTCCACAGAGCCTCGGTTTCTTCGAAACTTGTTTTGCAGGAATATTGATGCAGCAGGGAGGAGTTGAATCTTGTTGATGTCTTTCACGGGGCAAGGTCGATGTTTCCAGAGAAATATTTTCCATCATGGAATTTATCAAATAAGCGCCCTGCTTTTCAGCTTTTACTCCACGATTAAAAATCTTTCCTCGAATTTTTCTCTTCTTTTTCTGTTTTCTTGACGTTGCAATTCCCCAATCATGCTTTGACTGTCCTCGTTTTCTTTTTCTTCCCATTCTGACGCTCAGTTTTCCAATAATTATGTAGAGTACTGCCTTGGCAGGCTCAGCCCGGTACGGGTCCTTGTTTACTACAAGAAGACAAAGGTTTGTTTCGGACCCAAAAGTTACAACAGCTCTCTTTCCTGCCCGCGTTACAGTTAAAAAAAATACAATAGCATTTCACATTTCCATGGATTTCATGGAGGAATTATGTGAACTGAAAACAGTTGTAGGAACACAAAAGATGTGACTGCCGAATGATCTGTCGCTTTCCACCGATCTGTTCGAATTTCGTCTCTCCAAAATTTTCAGCCAATCACATTTCACGATCATTATCTCGTCTCAGGCTCTTCAGCTAAGAGGCGGTGGGGCCCTGGAACTCGATTGAGATTTTCTCTTATGCAAAAAAAGAAGAGGAAAAATAATAATATTTTTAATCACTTTGGAGTAGTTATAGTTTGAAACAAATTCATTGTTATATATATAATTTTTTTCCGGAAAAATCTGGAAAGAATGAGGGGAGGGGTGTGAAACTGCAAGTTGTCAGTGGTCTCCCCGTGCGGGTCATGCTCTTTTGAGCATTGTCTGGTGCTGTGAACAGGGCAGGAACAGGGTGTGATTACGGTTGTTTTGTTGGCGAAAAGACGAAGAAATAGCTAAGCGTAAATCATGTCGCAAGTCGAGAACGTAATACAGAAAATGCTTGCAGTGAAGGACAAGACAGAGGAAGCGAAAGAGAGGGAGTCAGATGCGAAATTCAAGCTAAAAGAGGTGAAACTGGAGGCCGTTGCGAAGGAGAATGAAGCTGCTGGGTACAAGAGACGAATTCAGTTACTGCAATTAAAACTTAAGGAGGTGTTGTCTGAAACAGAAGGTAAAGAAAAGACCCTAAAAGAGTTGAAAGAGAAGGCTGAGGTTGAAGGTGAAAGAGGTAAAGAGCTGAGCTATGCTGAAGTAGAAACGGATGAACAGCTTAGGACCATCGAAACTAAAGTACAAGATGCCCAATCTTCCGCCGAAAACGCTCAGTTGCGTTTGAACGACGCGCAGAGAAAGCTGACTGTTATGGAGAACGAGCTTTCTCGTACCGAAATTCGTAGGGATACAGCTCTGCATCGAATACCTGAGCTAGAAAAGATGATAAAGACCGCTGGAGAGAATCTTCACAAGATGCAAATGGAAGACGCCATGGCGAACGACAGAGAACAAGACTATGAGCAGAAGTTGCAATTGTTGGAAGATGAGTTGAGCAAGAAGGTCAAAGAGTGTGAGGAGATCGACAGAAAGGCAAATGGTGGTCTTCGACGAATAAATGAGCTGACAGCTGAAATAGAAAACTGGCAAGAAAAGAAACTTAAACTTGAAAATGAGTTCGCCGCCATCGGAGAACTCGAATGAAGATTTCTGACACTTAATAATTATTATTGAGGAACGTTTTTCAAAGGTACTGAATATTAAATACACGTCTAGTATCAGTCACCTTTAAACTTTATGGTTGTAAGCCATGATTTCAAATAGAAAGTTACTTGACATTTGTTTATAATTGTTATTTACAAAGTTCTGACGTACCACCCTGTTCCCACCCCTGAGTGGGGTGAAACCTGTGAGTCAGTGCTGTGTGAATGTTCAGTCGGAATTTCCAAAAATGACCTTATCATTAACCTTCTGAAATTTTCAAGTTTTTTGTCTTCGTTTTAAGCATCCAAGGTTGCCTTATTATGTGGTGCTATTGTATACCTGCCAACTCTCACACCTTAGGCGTGAGTCTCACACCTGCGGGTTGAAAACTTCGATCTCAGGCCAGCTCACGCTTGCGGGCGAATTTCTCACGCCTGATTGAAAAATGTGAGTTGTTGCCGTCTTGCTTGACACAATTTCCAAAAATATGTTAACTCAGACCCATGTAAGGAACGAAAACCATGTGTAAAATGAATAAATGACAATACCTTCCTAGCGATCTCTGATTTTTGAAGTTAAAAGCACTGGGAGTGAGCTCGCGTTTATACGCGTCCTAAGACTGGGACTCGATAACTTCGCCATCGGCAGACTTCGGAAGTCTTCGGAAGTCTTCGGACTTCTTCGGAAGACCTCGGACTTCTTCGGAAATTATCGTGTCGTCTTCAAAAATCCCAGCACTCCCAGGATAAAAATCTCACGCTTATGTCTCAGAAAAAGTTGGCAGGTATACTATTGGGCTCCTTTTTTGTTGGGGAGGAGCTTTGCTTGACGAGACAAAAACGGCTTTCAGGTTCCTTTATTAGTTGGCAAGGTTTTGTGGAAAAGACAAAGCCATCATTAATATTTTTAAGTAGGTGCTGGAGGGTAGGTGTTTAGTTTCTTGATGTTACAGATGGTGCATCCACCAAAATGGCATGCACACGATGGAATGAAAAGACTATGAACAATTCCAGCATCATAACTGCCAACCAGCAATATAGTTTCAACAACACCAAGAAACACCTGGGAAAAGTAGCCAGTGATTTGACCTAAGAGGGTTTAAGATAAACTCCTCATTGATTAATTTTGTGTTCTACTAAAACATGTTGGGCTTGTCTCTAATTTCCAGGAAATCTTCAGCCATTAATGACACCCCGAAATATGAGGTTTAAGTGACCCAAGGTCAAATTTATAATGTTGCCAATCAAATTTTCATATTATTATTACAGATGCTTTGTGACTAAGTTACTGGATGAAGTTACTGTACAGGAGAGTTTCTTATAGGTTCTTAGTATTTCACATTAATTTTTTAATCTTTGCTTCTCTTCCTTTTTCCCACTCAAGCAGAAAAAAAGGGTAACTGTGGGCATAGCCATACCCTTGCAAATGTCTCTAACAAAGGTCGACAACCACCACTCTCCTTATTTTGCCCCCTGGTAGGTGTTTAGGCTGGAACAGTCACCTGCTTTAGATGGTAATACTTACTCAGGGGTCAATTTAATAAAACATTTACAAGTGTACCCATTGTTTTGGAGGCTGAAAACAATAACTACAGTAGCAAACATTTTATTAAATTGACCCCAGGTTTGAAAAACCTTGAGTCCAGGCTTGTTCAAGGACAAGCAGCTCTCAAATTTCTCTTACCCAGGACGGTTGCATGGTTGTCTTATTAATGTTTCCTTTTTTTCAAAAATTTAGGTAGAAGGCAAATTGCCTCAGCCCTTCACCCTCTTTCATAAAACACCAAGCACTGTTTTGGCCTTCCAGATTTTATGGTCTCTCTCAGTGTGTTTTCAGATGTTATTTGAATCGCATGGAAGTGTTCAATAAACAATGTTACTGGCAGCATGTCATGGCATTTTCAATCCTTCAGTTTTAGAAGTGTTGTTATTGATACTGCCCATTAGTACACCTGTTTACATTAGGCTTGACTTTTAAAGGGAAGGATATATTTTTGGGATACTGTCTAGTTAGCAACATGCCTATCTCAGTAAAATGGAAAATACCAAACGATCAAACCATCGATAAGCAACAACCAAAAATACCTTGTGTTGGTGGTTGTTCATACTGACTACTGGTGATCTCTACTATAAACAGGTCCCAACATCTACTCATTTAAAGGAATAGAGTAGAACCTCCAAGTCAGTGCAGCCACCAGCGCAAAGCACCAAATTTGGCAAAGAAAAGGCCTATTATTAGAACCTCTTGTAAACAAATTTTGTGCTGGTTTTATAATTTTCCAATATTTTTAACCTCTTGAAAGTGACCATACACATGCATGGTCTGACCTTTTTGTTCAGCGTATGTACTACACTATCCACAGTATACAAAGAACTTTCAATGACGTCAAGGAACTACGCACATCGTAACTCTTCTGAAAAGTAGATTGGTCAGAACCTTTTAGAAGAGACCCTATCTATAAGGATATTCAGCGGGGAAGTATTATGGCACCCAAGTTTTTATATGTTCACAGCTCAAGGCTCCACTCAATTTTTCGATGAGCACAGCCTTGAGCAATAGAATGTCCAAGAAAATATGTGCCATTGCTTGCTAAAGTAAACATATCAATAGATTTTATCTCGAGCAATGCAGGCTAGAAGACTGTAAAATAATAATATTATTTTATCAGTACTTTTTAAGGGGATACAAGTGGGTGGTAAAACAAGTTTGTTAATAGAATTTTCCGCTAGTAGACATGACTGCATTTTTCTCTGGCCTGCTAACTGAATCACATTTGTTGGATCTGCCTGGAAAGATCTCTTGCCAAGCACTAAGCCTTGTTCAGTGTCAAAATTATCCACCGGTTAGGACCATTAAAATATGACATCACAACTGGTTTTATAGGTAAAGTGGTTCAACCCAAGCAGTTACGAGCGGTTGAAATGTAAATTTGTTAAATACAGCTAAGTTTTAATGCAACATGATGTGATCCCAAGAGATACATTTTGAGTGATACTCATATGGAGGAGAGGGCATATCCCTCTTTCCTCGTCCCTGTAGAGCATCTTCTCACCCCTTCTTGATCAATGCATTTCGGTGATGTACCCAAGATGAATGACCAGGACAATCAAAAACTTGCTCAGTCCACGTGACCTGAAAAGCATAGGCTGCACGCAGTAATGAGCCCTAGGGACTAGGCAAATACACCTATGACAGATTGTGCCCATTTTTGCATAAGAGCTAATTCTGAGTGTCACATACAGACAGTTTACAGTAACTAAATTATAATGATTTTGATCGAGTAAAGATAGTTTAAAGTAACTCAGGGCTCGAAATTAAAAAAAATGCCTGGTCGCAAATTTGCGACTAGTTACGAAAATTTCAGGTCGCAACTTTGAAAATGTTAGTCGCGAAATTAATTGAGGCCATTAATTTTAATCAAGAAATAAGTAGGCTTTTAAATGATTAACGCTTTAATTTTCATTCTTTCAACAGTTTTCATGTCATTTCGAGACTTAATAGTACAGAACGTTTAGCGTCTCGGACAACGCCAGTTCATCTAAACGATCAAGTTGAACCTGCGTTAAGGCACATAAATTAGTGTCTGTTATTTTAGTCAAAGCGATAGATTTCCAAATCATGAACAGATATTACAGCAGGAAACTGCAGTTCTTAAATGCCTCCAATCTCTGCAAAATAGCAATAACATTTGTACTGGACGGACATCCGACATGGTTATAGGTTACGTTACGTAACTAAATTCCTTTAGTTTTACCTTTTGCAGGTTTTCCACCGATGACAAAACAAGTAACGAATTCTTTTATATATTAAGCTTTACATCTGAAGTATCAGGGGTGTTACTACAGTGATTATTCAAAGAACCCTGAAGGACTGAATCATTCAATACGACGATACGTGCCATGCGGACATTCCGCCATTTTTGTTTGCTAAACCTCGTTTTCATGTATACGTAGATTCGCAACCCACTTGGAACCGATTTATTTTACATGTAAATCTTTTTTTTAAAAAAACTAACCGTTACTGTCAAACGAAGAAACAATGAAGCCTTAAGCACTCATTTTTTACCAACGAAAGTTATTGACTCCAGTTTTTCTGCTTGTTTCTGTTCCTTCGATCTTGCTCAGTGACTAACGATTGTATGCAGTTGTTATTTCACTACAAGCCATTTAGAAACCTAGAGAGAGGGATGGTGACTGATATCTAACAAACAAAATTGTAAGATGCTACTTCAATGAATCTTTTTATTTCTAAATTTATTTAAGCAAAAATTCAAGAGCTAGTCCTTTTATTTCGTATCAGTTAGGCAAAACCTAGTTGCAAATTTGCGACTACTCTCGTTTTTCTAGTCGCAAATAAGAAAAATTAAGTCGCAAATGCGACCGTATCGGTCGCAATTTCGAGCCCTGTAACTGCTTAAATACTTGGGAGATGGAAACAAGGAGGTCATTATTTTACTTGATGAGGGCACTTTAACTTTACAATCTGTAAAATGGGACCTGCAATGATTCGAGCACATTCAAGGCTGGCTCTAAAAGTACTGGGTGGTAAGAGCAGTTGTGGAAAATTATATACTTCTGCCTACCATGAACATATCAACAACCCCCCTTCCCCCCCACCACAAGTGTCTTAAAGAAGCTTTCCAACAGCCCCAAAAAACTGATGCATAAATAATCATATGGAAAGTTAGCAGTCAGCAGTCAAATAGTAAAGATGGCAGATGTTTTTTCAATAATTTTCTGTAGTTTCGAGTATTTTGTTGTGTGTGTTTGTGTTCAATGTATATCCATTTTGCATGCGTGTCTTTTGTAGTAGTTATATCACGTAATTTGGCTTCCTATCGGTAGTTATTACCAAAGCCAATACCCTTTAGGCTATTTAATTTTATTGCAGGTTAATTGTCCTTTTGCTTGTAAAAATATTGTTGTTGTTGTTGTAGTGGATCATTGTATGGTAGTCTGCTTAAAACATCATTAATAATGCACAAAACCTTCAATACTTAAATAACAATCAAGTTTTATTGTTTCATTTTCATTTGGCCAGCTTAGATGATCCCAATCTGCGAATTAAAAAACATAAACAGAGTAAGTACAGTTATTAAATCATTATAATATTATTTGACTGTTTATACTACTACATGAGAAATTTCTGCAATTTGATTGGTTTAGAGCAGTGGTATTTCAGCTTAATTTGAAATACCTACATGTGAAAATTTCAAACCTTTTGTGGTTAGTAGTATAAACAAATAATAGCATGACTTGTAGGTGATACTTGGCTTAAATACCACTTGTGATATTTCAAAATTGTCTCAAATTTCACTTGCCTAACGGCTCGTGAAATTACATATAACAATTTTGAAATATCAGTCGTGGTATTTACGCCAAATATCACTACAAACCATGCTATTACCTATACTAATGTACTTAGCAAAATTAAGTGACAGAGCATTACACTTCAGTGATCTGGGGTCAATTTAATAAAACTTTTACACATGTAATTTACAAGCGTAGCTATTGTTCTTAGACTCTAAAACAATGGCTACACTTGCAAATTACACATGTAAAAGTTTTATTTGATTGACCCCTAGTTTAAAAAGCCACAAGGATAATAAAAGGAATTTTGGCCAAAAATAAAATACTGTTTGAAGTTCCTTTTGCCTCTATGCCACTAGAAAACTCATGGTGATAAACTATAAGTATGATAAGTAAGACAGACAAATCAGTTTAACATGGCAAAACTGTGTGGAATGAATTACATACACGTTTATCACAAACCTTATTTGCAACATCCAAGGCATCATAATCGGGTGCCAGCCTGACATAAGCTTTCTTCTGTCCATCAGGTCTAATGCAGAAAAATGCCAATTAGTGTGAGATTCCAAAGGTCTAAAAAATACTGGCCTTACACAAAAAAGTAGGAAATGTCCAAAATAAGGCTATGTATATCTAGCCGGATTTATGATATTATTATCGCCAAGAGACCTTTTGCATTGAACAGTTTTTTTCCAGCCAAAAACTATCTCCAAAGTAGCTATTATAAAAACTAAGAGTGCAACCATTGCTCTTTTTTTCATCTCCTCCTTTCCTTCTCCTCACTCTTTCTTTTTCTCCTTTCCTTTCTCTTCGTTACTATGATTTTGGAGCTCCTCGGGCTTAAGAAACATGCCTTTTGACGTCTTTTCACTCAAACAACTGAAATTTTTGTTAGGTACTGTACTTGGTTTTCAAAAAAACGGCTTCATATATGAGGCCTTGTATATTTTTTTTTTAGTATACCCCTTGGCTTAATGTATTGGTTGTTGTGCAAAATCATTCAGTCAAAGAGGTCATAGAGTTGTAAGGGTCGTACTAGAAGACTTGTGTAGAAGGGGGTAAGACTCTTCGTCTTTGATGTGCAGATCATTCACTATTCTTTCAATGCAAAATTTGAGGAAAACTGATCTAACACTGAGCATGTAATGTCAACTCACATCATACAAAGGTAGTGTTAGGAGTGAAAGGGTTTTGGAGTCTTGCTAGGCCTGTGTGACATTAAAGGAAGGACTCTGTTAACTGGTGGACAGGGTGCTTTTTTGTAGGCTAGGTAGCAATCAGAAAGAGAAAAATTTGTAATAATATCTTTCTTAGAGAAAATTATCCGTGCAATGATAGCTAAGCTCCAGATGCTCCAACAACTTTACCAAATCTTGCTCTTAACAAAAACTTTACTACTGAACTTCAGACAATTTGTTTATAGCATAAATGTTGATAACATAAGAGAAATAATAATTGAGAAAGACATGTTGCATGATTTTAGGTACCTTATAAGGGTGTTGACCTTGGAGGCATCAATATCATACAACTTCTTCACAGAGGCCTTGATCTGTGGCTTGTTAGCTCTCACATCAACAATAAACACAAGTGTGTTATTGTCTTCAATCTTCTTCATGGCTGACTCTGTTGTCAAAGGATGCTTAATAATTGCATAGTGATCCAGTTTGTTGGTCCTGGGAGCAGAATGCCGAGGATACTTGGGAGCTCTTCGAAGGCTCAAAGTTTTAGGACGGTAAAAATGAACATTTGTGCGCACCTTCCTCTTTGGTGCACGCTGAACACCCTTCAGGACAGACTTCTTGGCCTTTTGGGCTTTAGAAGTCTCACTGGCTTTTCCTGAGGCCCCAGCTTTTGACTTTCCTAGAGACAAGAAATAAACAAGGTTTATTAGAATTCCTAGATTAGGGATTCTTTGAGTAGCAGCAATTTGTTTAGCAACTTACATTTACGTAATCCCACTGTAGTTCAACATAATATGCTATTCCCAGTATCACAAACAACAAGAATTTTTCTTGAATAGATTTTAATTATGAACCTTCTCTGTTTTTAAAATGATTATAAATTTTAAAATAGATTTTTATCACTTGTAGCATCCCTGTTCTTTTAGTGTCCACAATTAGCTAATACATAGCTAAATACTCTGACACTTAAGTTCATTCATTCATTCATTCATTAGAGCAATAAACCATAATGACGAAACACATCATGGTACTTAAAACAACTTTCAACCTCATGCTCCACGAGTTCTCATAGCTCAGTGGATAGAGCACCCACGCGGTGTTTGGGACGTCATAGGTTCGAATCCTGTTGGGGACTCAGATTTATTCTTTGTCCCACGCTCGTGGCATGCTGATTATTTCATCTTCACATTTGTTCACCAAGCTTGAAATTTACAATCTTTCATTTTTTTCACCAAGAGTAATTATAATAACAATCAATTCAATTTGACCTTGTGTCAGCTCACCTTCTTCTCTAGAAAACTCACCCACTTTTTGGTTTTTCCATCACCCCAGTAAAAAAGTTTAACAAAAGTAAGCAGGATAACCAGAGAAGAAGGGGGCAAAGGCCTAAATTTGTGCAGTTTTTATCTAGTATTGCTAATCCTTAAAATCTTGAGTACTGTCCTACAGTGGAACCGTGATATAGCAAACCTCTATATAACCAAGTCCTTGGTATAATGAACACTTTTTTTTACCCAAGCAATAGAAAAATGTATGCAAAAGAACCTCGATATAACAAAACCTTTTTATAGCCAAAACAATTTGCCAGTCCCTTGGCCCTTAGCTTCATGATATCGGTGCCACTACTGTACCAAACAACATCCAAATGACGTAAAACGAGGCTGAATGGAGGGAATTCAAGATGTTGGGGGAACGGTAAGTAAATTAAGTAAGCTTACATACCGACGTCCAGTTTATATCAGGGCTTGGGATTATCTCAGAGGTATTTTACTTCAACCACTACAACCTTCGTATTAAGTTTAGGCCTAACCAACCTAGTTGAAGTCCTCTTTGATTCGACCGTTAACAGTTGTGAAAATTATGTTTCAATCGACGGAAAGAAATCCGTCACACACAGCGGAAACGTTCCTGGCTACTGTTTTAAAGACAGCAGATTGCCAAGGAAGCATGCACGTGGAAAAGAACGACCAACATTGTCGCGCTTTTACTGCGTGCCTTTAACACGTTACTGACTAAGTCACACAAGAAAGTCATTCTTTATTTATCGAAAAACCTTTTTTAAGTGTTAACGTTTAGTGATATCACACTGTTCAATAAAAAATCTCTTAGAAGCATTCCCTAACCTTACCCTTATCCTTGGGCGCCATGTGTATTTTCGGTAAAGAGAGAGAATAATGAGCGGGGTGGACTGCTATGAATTCAGGGCTGGGCTGTGCGTCCTGGCACAAAATGCGCGCCTGGCATTTTCGACCATATTATATTTCTTCCTAAAAATTTCCTCCCTGCTTTTACCATTTCTACCTAGATGCTTTTTCTACTCAAGACAAGATTTAAAGATGCAGACGGTATGTGGCTTGATATATGTCTATATTAATTGCAAATGGAGTAGCTGCAAAATAGAATAGACTCCTTCACGCGTTTGAGCTTGAGTGCATCATGGCCGGCGGGAAATTTGAAGGTTATTTGTGTGAACCCTTTCGCATTTAATCGGTATGTTGGTGATTTTCTCCAGGAAAAACCCGAGATATGGTTTATAAAAATGCTAAGGAATCAATTTGGTGAATTTAGCCATTATCTGAACCATATTGTCTTTAAAATAAAAAATGCGGACTTTTGAGAAGCCATGTTTAGGGTTTTAATATTTCTCACCTCAATTTCTGTCAGTCAGACTGCAGGCTTGCATGCCAGTAACGAACATGGAGAAAAAAGTATAAACTATATTAGTATAAGGGCAATGGTAATAGCAAATGGCCACTCTGACAAACTCTATTGTGCCCTATCAATCAGGCATTTCAGAAAAATATTATTTGTTCTCTTTTGTTTGTTTATTTTCTCCAGCTGTTTGTTTCTTCTGTACGTAGCAAATAAAGTATGAAGTGCAGGGGATTCTAAAACATTGACTGAAAAAATGTGCCCAATACTACTGAAGAGGGCCTGCAAAGTGTTATGCTCAGGTAGGGAAATTGAGCCTGAAATGAGTTTTTTCATTGGATAATATGCACACCTGATGCTCATTGTCTTAGTATTTCCTGGTACATGTAATAAACTACATGTAATATCAGTAGTTTTTGAGCAATTTATCTTTTTGGACCAAAATTGTCACTTACAATAGTTTTACAAAAAACCTAACCTTGATAACTCAGGTAATAACCGAAGGTTACAGATTGGGGAGTGGGCAGGGGGGGCGGGGGAGGAAGGGGTGAGAACAATATTGAAGGCCAAAATGTTCTCGCACCAATGCTGTGCTTTGCATTATTTTCAAGGGATAGATGGTTCAAACACGCATGATCAAATTACGAGGGATAGGAAGTCTAAACCTGCCCGATCAGATTACAGTCATTTTGTGCATTCCATTCACTCTTAGTGGAAGTTTAAATGAAGCTGGCCACATACGTGTTTTATTTGCATGCATAATAACACCCTGGAAATTGGGATTGTGGGCTCCTCTTATCAGAATGTTTAGTGCATGAAATACTGTTTTTTTATTATATAAGACAACTTAACCATTCCTTTGAAAGTACATAATGTACGTCATAATAATATACACTAAATCTTAATTAAGACATTTTCCAAATTGAGCTAAGGATCTCAATTATTAATTCCAAATGAGAAGTCTTATATAACCAACATTATTAATTGATCAAATTATATAGTAAATGGGTTGAACCCTATCATAAGTAGGTGTAATATGATTGTCAGGTTGAGTGTAGTCCTGAATAAAGGTACTTTCTAAAGTTAGGGGTTTCCAAATCTAACCCCCTCCCCCCCAAAATAAAACTCTTCCTTCTCTCTCCCACCTACTAGTCAGTGCAATTTTATTCAGTGTCCTTTAACTAATGACATGGGAATAAGAAAAATTATTAATACGGCCAAAACTAAAATATAATGAGGATATAAAAATTCTCTAGGAATTAGTATCTGTTGTATTATTTTACCCTTCCTTTAATGTTTTAAGCGGTTATTTTTATGTTTCTCTTAATTTAACGGGCATTTTGTAATTACCTAATTTGGCTGAATTACGTGACACAGCTCCTTTAAGCATTACAAGGCTCAAATTTTCTTTTGTTCATAACAGAAAATTTGAGCCTCATAATGACAGAGAGGCAGATTGTATAGTAGAGTTACTCTACTAATTCTGATTATATCTTTGGATGATTCTGATAGTTCATCTTAACAAGACAGAATGGCCTCAATGCTGACCTTAAAAGAGAATAGCCTCAGTCAGTAATATTGTTTAGGTGTCACTGGGTGTTTAAGTCAATAGGAAAGTACTTGATGTGTTTCAGTCTCATCTAATGGACCTGAATAAATATTCCAGACCCCGTTAGCATCTGGTTTTGCGTCGTTGAGTGTTATTTATGTCTTTTTCAGGCAGTGCCATCTGGTTGTCTTGTTGACACGTTTTTTGGTCAATTTCTGCATAGTACTAAGTAAGGTAGTCAGTATAAGTTGTTTACATTTGCCAACTCGTTGTGGTAATTTGGTGCATGTTGTATTAGTTAAGTCTTTTGCGACAGTCGTTAATTCGTTCTCAGTTTGTTCAAAGGGGACTTAATTAAGTCCCACTGGAAAAAGACAAGCTCTTTGCAGCGGTGCCAAGGAACCAGGCTTTTTGTTGTATTCGTCTGACGTTACTTGCCTGTGCATAATAACTGATGCAGAGGTTTGCAGGTCGTTCGCTCTGTTGGTCGTACCATTTTCAATTAGTTTTCCAGTCTTCCAAATTATGGTTTACCGGAAGCCGTAAGGTGGGTTTTGATTAATTGGTGGAGTCCGAGGCGGTGATAATAGTAAGGAGTAAGTGTCGTTAGAGCATGCGTTTTTCCAGTAGCAACATTTGCATGTAAGACTTGGGCACTGCGAAAGGCGGACGAGCAAATAATCACTACTTTCGAGATTGAACGCTATCGAAAAATCCACTTGGTGAGGCGCTGCCTGAACAAAGACATAAGAAATAAAAAGAATGTCGCCAAGTTTTGTTTGGTTATTACTTACCGTATGTCAGGAATAAGAAACTAAAGTTTTTCGGTCACTAAACAAAACGTGAAAGGCCTTAAAACAAAGTTGTTTTATGCCCCAATTTAGCCTAGCCAAGGCCACTAAACTAGTTTCATGTGACTAACATCCTACATACCGCTAGGCCTGAATGAATGTCTTCAAGTCTCGTTTGGTTATTACCGTATGTCAGCAGAAAGAACTTCAATTTTTCGTTCATGAAACAAGACATGAAGGGGTGGAAAAAAAGGTTCTCGAAGCAAAACCTTCCATATACTCCTTGCAGTCCGCCTTTTTTCTTAAAATCCGTCCAGTTCTCAGCTACCGCAATCGCAAACCACGACATTATGTTACAATGAGGGATTTTCTTCTCGGGCTTAGGCCCTCGTTTATCGCAACTCGCGTGCCTGGGTTTCTCTTGCAGTAACTTTGAAAAGAAAAATAAGAGACTGCTCGCAGTCTAAACCTTCCAATGCAATGTTGTTTGCTGCCCCTACTTATAGGTACCGTAAATGATGTAATAGATGCCCTCTCTCAAACAAATGCCTCTTGTCTACTAAACGCCCCCTCTACATTTTCAAGTTTTTATTCATCGCCCCTCTCTAAAACACACCCCAATGACGACTGCTCCAAACTACTAGGAATTAGCAAAAAGGGGCAAAATCATCCGATTTATTCAGTTTCT